GTCTCCAGCTCCTCTGCCGCCGCCCTTTCCCTGCCCGCCCGTCCTCCTCCTCCTCCTCCTCCTGCTCCTCCTCCTCCTCCTCCTCCTCCTCCTCGTCCTCCTCCTCCTTCTTCTCCTCCTCCTCCTCCCGTCTGCCTCTCGCTTCTACCCCCAACCCTCCTACGTGTTGGAGAGGGGGTTGGGCACATCTCGGGGGCAAGTTGTTTCCCCGCGCTAGCCCGGGTCATCCGAGATGTGGGCGGCGCGGGTGCCCGCCGATGGCTGGACCTCTTCGCTGTGAGCAGCCCCGCGCGTGCCCGCGCGCGCGAAGTCTGCGCACCCCCCTTCGACAAGGTCAGGCTGTCCCTGGGGACAGGCCTGGCGGGCCCGATGGCCTGGGCGATCGCCGGACCCTTTCAAAAACAGCCTCGTGCTCAAAGTCCTGAGGCCCAGACATCCGGCATTCCTCACTGCACCGGTCTTGCAGACGTGCTGCAGCGGATTTTTGCGTGGATTCCTGTCAGTGCAAAACCCCAAAACGGCGAACGAACAACGAAAAGAATCTCACGTGGATGTTTGTTAATCTTCAGTCCCGGCCAAAAACAATCCGCACGAAATTCACTTCGAAATCCCGGACGAGATTCTCCAGGACAAATCCGGGTCCATCCCATTGCTTTTCGAACGGAGTCCGCTCTGCGATGTTGGCGCCATGACATCTCGAAGAAAATCGGCACGGAGGTCTCTGATCGTTTTCGGCCTCTTGGGGCCGTCACCAGGCCTCGGGGCCGCCCAGACACGACCTGGGACAAAAAAGCCGGGCCCGAGAGAGTGGTCGAGACAGGTCGGGGGCACGTGCCTCGACAAAGTCGAGGTGTCGGCACAGCTGTTTCAATCCGGTCCTCTACCCTCGACTTCGACCTCCCATCCCCGTCGACTGTTTGATCCATGCCGAGCGTTCTTCCTCGATGTCGGCCCTGGGGCCCGCTGCCAGGCCCCAGGGCTATCAAAAAGCGGACCCGGGGGCCAAAAGCTGGCCCTGGGGAAGCGGTCAGGACCTCTGGGCCCAGCACCGGAAAAAATTGAACGACAACGTTTTGACATGTGTTTGCCTCTGGCGGCCCAGACATCTGGCGATTCGAGAACATCGGGGCGGGGATTGTCATAGCTTTCGGCCATTCAGGGCCCTACTGAGATGAAGGGTGGGTTTGCGAAGTAGTTCGGGTGTTTCTAATCAAACCACATCCTGCTTAGCGAACTTCTGCTCATCAGGTTAGGCAGCGTTGCGCGAAGTAGGATAGAATTGGTTCCTAACCTACCTATCCTAAGTTGGCGAGCTGACCCACCTAAGTCGGTCAGCAATCGCAGCGCAAGTACGCTACGGACGGGGGAGGAGGGGAGGGAGGATGAGGAGGAGGAAAGGAAGGAGGAACCGCAGAAAGAAGATGCGGCGGTGCTGGCAAATTGAAACCGCTCGAAATTATTTTGAACACCCTGGCGAAAACCTCGTGCTTGTCGCACTGCCCAACGTACATCACGCAGCGCACACTTCTGATGAAGCAGGTTTCTTCCTTTTTCCCCGCTCCTCCCTTTCCTCCCCCCGTCTTCGAATCCATTCGTCAAGAGGTCCTGCAATGCCTGAGCCGCAACTTGGGCGGAAAAAACTTCAAAAACCTGCCCCACATCTGAAGTCTGAAAGATGCATGGCTCGACCAAGCAGCTGGTGCACATGAGCGTTAGCACGCCTTCTACAACGCAGCGGGCGACATTGTCAGCCATGCCTACCAGTCCATGACCATTCACCCTAGGAAGAAAAATGCAGCTGTCCGAATCCAACAGAGCTGCCCCCATCGCAATACGCAATCGCGTCGCCTATTTGAACGTCTCGGCTGTTCAAGAACGCAGCCGTTGATGTTAGCACCTCGCACTGACTAGCCAAACGAATATCTGGTACAATTGGCGCCCTCATCATCTTCGAACCTGGACGGGCTTCCAGGAGATCGATCCCGACGATTTGAGCCTTGAGGTCAGACAAGCGTTGAAACGTCGCGTCCTCCATCAACCCTGTTCATTTCCAGCAGCGTTGAACTCAAGTTAGCCATCCGCTGGACAACACGATGCGTCCTCTCCATGAGGAGGCAGCTGATTAGAAACCGATGGCGAAGCGGGGTCGTAAGTAAATGCGCAAACCAAGTATTCTGGCGCGTCCACAAGTATTACCCGCATAAGTTGCGATGCGCTGTGAAGTGGGATATGATAGCCTCGCCAAGGTTATCCGCACGCAGAAGACCAGTTTTCACCGTCGAAAGCAACTCCAACCCCGCGCAGAACAGCTTCATGTTGCGGGCAGCTTTCACAGCGACACCTACAGCGACCATCCTCACATCGAATCGATGAACCCATCAAGCACTTGGGCCCCGCCCAGACGTTCTAAAACCGAGCCTTTCGGGGTAAAGTTCTCAACGCCCACGCAAATTCAACTCCCACCGGCGTAGCCCCTCAGGCCACTTCCGCTGGCGTGGGAAATCGTTACACGCCGCGCCACCTGCTTTAATATGTTTGACTTCGCCAGTAAGGAACTGATTGGTGTCGTGGTCCATGGCCCGCGACGCCGTCGACTACATAGCAACGCATACAGTCCTAGGACCAGCAATGGATGACATCCAATGGGAGTCCCCCGTTCGCCTGCAATCATTTTCTAAGCGTAGTTCTAATCGAAATGCGTATCAAGCTCTGCCAGTTTGGCATCGTCGCCGATCGCATAGAGATTGCCCGGAAGCCTTTGCGCCCCACGGAGAAGCTCACGCGCAGATTCAGGACCATCATATATCCAGCCCTGCCGAGCTGCGCAAAAATCCGCTCCGATCTGGCAAGAGCGAAGAATGCATCCACACGACGTTCTTGCAGAGAGCGCATACATTGCGCACTCCCGGCCCTTCGCACTCTGTCATAATTTTGCGCGCTCGCCCGTCTTGCCGGCCCTTGGTACGCAATGACAAAACCTGATAAGCCCTCGTAAGCCCTGGTAAGTGTTGGTGAGTTTTGGCCAGCCCTGCCAAGTCCTGCTGAGTTATGCTAAGCCCTGCTGAGTTCTGCTGAGATCTGCAAGGCTCATATCACCACCATCCCCCACTTGATTACATCATCAACCCCATCGCCGCCATCGCCGCGGTCATTGTCATCTCCTCGCTCACCGTGCTCCAAGAGGCCCCCAGGACTGCCCGTGAGGACCTCAAATGGCTCACACAAGAGGGCCCCGACGGGCCCGGATGAACATACCACGTTGAGTATATGTCTCTTTTACGCACCGAGGCCTTCCCGTTCTGGCAAGCGTCAAAAATGGCCCCGCAGATTCTGATGGCGTCTCGACGACGGCCCAAAAGGCTGTCGAAACGCCTGGCGAAGCCCCCGAGAAATCTGGAAGACGGCCACAAGGGCCCTCAAGACGGCCCCACAAGCTCTCATAACCCCCATCGGAGGCTCTCAGAAGCCTTTCGGTAGCTCCAAGAGGCTTCTTGGGAGCTTTCAAAAACTCCAAGGGATTCCCAAAGGCCTTTCGGGACCTCTAAAGAATGCCCAGAGGCATCGCGGGAGCTCTCTGAAGTCTCTCGGACGCGCGCGGAACCCTCTCGGGAACTCCAGAAAGCCTCTCGGGAGCTCTCTGACGTCTCACGCGGGGCTCTCCAAAGCTGATCGGACATTATCAGAAGCCTCTCGGGGGCTCTCAGGAGCCTCTCGGGAACTCTCTGAGGCCTCTCGGACGCTCTCAGAGGGGTCTCGGGAAATCTCACAGGCCTCTCGGACGCTCTCAGAAGCCTCTCACGAAATGCGAGAGGCCTTTCGGGAGCCCTCGGAGATCTATCTCCCGGAGATCTCTCGGAACGTCTCAGATACCTCTTCGGAAGCTCACAGAACCCCCTTCGGGAGCTCGCAGTCCCTCTCGAGAGCTCTTCGGGCCTTCAAAGACCTGTCTGAAGCTCTCAGAGGTTTCTCGGGGTGTCTCGGCAGCCTTTCGGGCGCTCTGAGAAACATTTTCCGAAATGTTCAAAGCCTCTCGGAGGATCGCAGGGCTTCTCGGAAACTCTCTGCGGCCTTGCGGCAGCCCTCACAAGCTTCTCGGAACCGTTTAGAAGCCTCTCGGACACCCTCACAAGTTTTCAGAGGCCCCTCCGAAGCTCCCAGCAGTCTTTAGGACACGTTCTGGATTCAACGAACTCTGGGTAGTCTTCTAGATTCCTCAGAGGCGCTCCGGATTCTTTCGGATGTCCTTTTGGATTCCTCGGAAGTCCTCAGGATGCCTCAGGATTCCTCCGGAATCTTCGAATCCTGTCGCGACGAATCGGAATCCGAACGGCCCCGCCAGGAATCACGAAACATTCCGCAGGAGCCCGAAGGGCGTCATAAGGGCTCCGACGCGCATCTGGGGGGCAATATGACGAACGCGAAAGGTTACCGAAGAAATCCCTTGAAAATCGCTTGGCGCATGCAACTCCGGCCGCGAACCAAGTGTGACTCACTCGTAATTAGTATTCGGTTGCCATATACAAGTATGGCACCAGCCATAGATGGGCGGGGCGCTTCCAGCCATAGAAGAAAGGTGGCCCTACGAATACTTCTACTACTACGACTACGACTACTACTACTACCACTACCACTACCACTACTATTACTACTACTACTACTACTACTACTACTACTACTACTACTACTACTACTACTACTACTACTACGACTACTACTACTACTACCACTACTACTACCACTACTACTACCACTACTACTACTACTACTACTACGTACTACTACTACTACTACTACTACTACTACTACTACTACTACTACTACTACTACTACTACTACTACTACTACTACAACGACTACTACTACTACTACTACTACTACTACTACTACTACTACTACTACTACTACTACGACTACTACTACTACTACTACTGCTACTACTACTACTACTACTACTACTACTACTACTACTACTACTACTACTACGACTACTACTACTACGA